GGGCACGTTTGGTGTCATGAATGGAGGAGCGTTGGCGGTGGGAGCAGCTGCAGGTGCAACTGCCTCTTCTTCATCAGCCTCCCTTCAAAATAAGCAGTCGACGCAAGACTCTACTAGTAATAATGGTGTAGAAAGACCTTCAATTCCGATCGCTGCACCCATTGCGTCGACAGCGGCGATAGCTGCAGCTGCATCTGGAGGAAACGCGGGCACACCACCTTCGGCATGGCTCACATCATTTGACAATTACAATGCGCAAAACGCTGCACATACGCCTTCAACTCTCTTCTCCGAGCCAGACTCGGCCTTCTCGACTCAACGTTTACAACAGCCACCTCTATCACCAACCGGAGGAAATGGACGACAAAATTCGGGAGTACAACAGCAACCCCGTGTAGACGATTATGCAGTGTCACCGTTTGCAGACGCCTTTAATAATGGTGCGGGTCCGAGCGCCACTCCACGACCATCTGGACCGACACGATCCAACTCGCTCCTCAAACGCTTTTCTGCCGCCATCACTTCGCCCTTTACTCGATCCTCCAACCCTCGCAATAGCACTGGTGCCTCTGGGTACCACTATCACCGCAACAGTCTTCTCCTCCAGCAACAAAACAACCCGTCCTCGCCTGTCGCTGATGGGACTGGAGATGCGAACGGAAATGGTGCCAATGGATATTACCGGGGCATGAACCACTTTAACCTTGGTATACCCCTCAACTATCGTCCAGTCGCTACCGCTGCCTCACCTACGTCTACGGATCCTGCCTTTGGGTTTGCGCGACAACAACAGCAGACGCTCAAGACAGAGTATGGCGGTGAAGTCTTATCTCCGACGGCTACCGCCAACCAACGTGGTTCCCGAGCCGGAATGGACGATTTCGCCTTTTCGTCCTACACTCAAGAAACCAGAGAGAGGTTGATGGGCTCGCGCGCGTCGCCGCTATCGCCTCCTCCTACTAATCGTGGCTCTGGAGATGATCGGATTGCTGAAGAGGGCAGCACGGACCCGCGGAGTGACGCGGACGATGAAAAGGAGGAAAAGATTGTCGAGTATGATGGGTCGACCGTGTATGGCAGCATCAACGATCGAGAAGTTGGGTATACGGGCGGAAAGCGGTGGAGTGCTGACCATGGGACGGTCGTCAGTCGCAATGGATCTCAGCGTGCACCGAGCGAGAGTGTGCACCAACCGGAAAGCTCGCAGCTCTCCAGACGCCAGTCAACACGGTCAGGTCGTAGTGATGGAAATGTTAGACAGGTAAATTTACACGCTTGAAGTGATAGTTGTGAAGCTAATGCCATCTTCTTTCCCTTTTAGCCTCATCCACCACCGTCGTATACACCCCTCAACCCCCCTGATAACACACCGCCCCCTCCTCCCTCATGAAAAACACATATATTAAATTCCAACGATCTAGAGGTATCTTCACCAGTCTCTCTCTCATATACAGGTCTCCACACACGTTCGTCTCGGCCACCATACATACGCTCGTTTATCCCCACACTATTTTATCACTCGCATAACGCACACAATGCACCTATCCACCTCGTACAGTGCACACCGACGCGCATTTGTCCCTTCTCACAATACACTGTATCATGATTCTCTTCTTCACCCTGCAAAATCCATTTATCCTATTCTTCTTTGGTCCTCTCCTCCCCTCCCTTTTGCTCAGAGATCAAACGTCACCGTGCTGGCTGTTTCCCTCTTCTCCCTGCATACGCATTGTGTTCAATCCAAGGCCCTCCCCCCTGTTCCCGGAACCGGACTTTCCCAACCTCTCACGATTCTTATATTTATGATGAGAGTGTTCATGGTTTCACGTCGACTGTCCCTCTCCTTTCCCACCTGGAAGCTCTGTGAGCTGTCTCTGCCTTTTGGCTGGTCGGTTGCCATCGTCTCCTCGACGTACTCGCTTTCTACCATCGTATTGGTTGGCACTAGCCATGCTGATGCTGGTGCTTGTACTGGCTTCTTGTGCCGATATGGTTGGGTTCAAGTGTGGCAAATTCACGGCTCGGTC